AATATAGAAAAAAAGGGTAAGAAGAGAATACCTGACCCTCTTGGAGAAGAGGGTATTTATAGAGAGACCCCAGCGCAGGGCCAACGGTCATTTAAGTTGGGCTGGATGGCCAGGCCCAACCCAAGTGACTGCTAGGGCTTACGTGGCGTAGTGAAGACCAGAACATGGTCTTCGCCCTAGTTCAACTGCTCCGCGAACTCCGGAAAGTGGGTTGACCTGCTCTTTCGGAGGTGGGCAGTTGATGGATGACGTGTCTCCGCGGAGGGGGGCACGTGGAGAACGTGTGGAGGACACGTTGTTCTGCCCGACGGAGGGAAGGTTCTGCCTGACGGGGGCAGTGTCTGGTCGGCGGGGAGTCTTGTGCTCGACACAAATGAGGAAGGTTCTGCCCGACAGGGCAGTGTTTGGTCGACGGGGAGTCTTGTGCTTGACACAGATGAGAAAGGCTCCTTTGGGCCTTCCCCCTAGTGTATGTGGGTTGGGCCTTCCCGGTCAGGCCGGGGCCCAGGCCAGAACACATAGTTTATAAAAAAATTATTTATTATCAAAGAGGACGACAATTTTTTATTTAAAAAACACATAATAAAACTTCAACATGTCTTAAGTCCAAACAGTTTAAAAAATAAAATAAATAAAGACCAATTACAACCAAAAATAACGAAATAAATTCAATACCAATAAAAAACGTATCAAAAATAAATAAATAAATTAACAACACATATCATCCTAATCCTATTTAAAAGTTAACTAGTAAAAGAACCCAATTAATATTTTATAAAAGACAAACAATGATAACAATTACGTTACATAAAATATCACAATGTATAAAATAGTAGTGAATAAAATATCAACATCTGACTTTCTCACTGTTTATATTATATAGACTCATATATTAACTGATTTGTTAATAGTTAAATCCTAAATTTGTCACACGTATACACTAATCAAATCATTTCTTTTCTTAAAATCAACATCTATTTCTAAAGAAAACACGTGAGTTAATGTTTAACAACTTAATAATTTAGCATGACATACACTTGTTCTTTTATATTAAGTTTTTTAAATCAACACATGTATTAGAAAGTTATAGAAAGAACATTACAATTATAATTTATTTTGTTTGTATAATAATTTATAATACAGTTTAATCAACATAAATCTAAGAGAAAAATGTTGTTTTTATAGTTAAATTTGTTTTAATTCTAAGTAAAAAAATAATTTTTTTTAATAAAAAATCCGTAGGCAAAATTCGTCCCGCCTTAACCCGCTTTTTTAAATAAGTTAGACGAGACGAAACAACTTAAAATACCGAGACAAAAACCTAAATCCAACCCTACAAAAATAACGGATCAAATAGACCGACTCAACATACCCACTCATTTTGTCACCCCACTAATATGTGAATAAGTATACCATATGAAAAATTAATCATAATAATGTAATGTCTTGATCAATCTCTCATTTGTCCAAAATTTCATCACATTAGTCCAAAATATTATTTACATTATATAATTGCTAACTAACTTTAGTAAAAGTTGATTTTCAGATTTATAGTATCATTAAATTAATTTGAATTTTTTTTTAATTAATTTGTAAATGTGGCACAAAAAATATTTATTGTTCTTAATATATATATATATATATATATATATATATATATATATATATATATATATATATATATATATATATATATATATATATATATATATATATATATATATATATATATATATATATATATATATATATATATATATATATATATATATATATTGTTTTTGTTATAACATTAATTTGAGACAATCTATTAAAAATATTATTAAACTATTTTGCAGCAACAAAATTTTTAAATTATTAAATTATTTTAATCTAATATCAAGTGAAAAGGTTTTAACTAATTTTTAACTGTGAGACATAAATAATTTTTAGTATATATACAGTTCTTTTGTTATTAAGTTAATTTATCAAAAAATATTATTTAAATTAGTTTGGAATAATATATATATATATATATATATATATATATATATATATATATATATATATATATATATATATATATATATATATATATATATATATATATTAAATTAGTATAATGCACTTTAAAAAGCCAACGTGTCACAGTAACCAAAATGATCAAATCTACTAAACAACAAGAATCTCTTAATGAAGAAATTTTCAAAAGTTATGCTAAAATGAACTAAATCTTCTATTTTCTTATCTCAAACGTCAACTTCCCTCTCTTGACATTGATGATGGTCCCCGTTGTAGATAAAAGGGTCTATATAAGATTATTGGAATTTTACAATCCTCATCAATGTCCATTATGACAAAGTCAACCACATATAGTACTATCAAACTCTCATCAGAACATCCTCTAACATATCTATTATGTACTTAACTGATTTATCTAAAAGCTGTAGAAAAACATTAATCGCTTTCATCTCACTTGTGTCTAACTTTTTACATACAGGCAAAGGGATCAAGATGACGCTAGCTCCTAAATCATAAAGTGCTCTCTCAAAGTCCATGGTGCCTATATGACAATGGATATAGAAACTCACAAGATCTTTAAGCTTATGGATCATCATACTTTGAATCACCACACTACTACCAATAGTCATAACCAGAGTTTTATGGACCTCAAATTCCTTTTATTAGAAAGGATCTCTATTAAGAACTTAGCATAAGAGGGCGTTTGAGTTAGTGCCTCAGCGAAAGGAACATTGAGGTGGATATTCTTAAGAAGTTCCACAAACTTTTTTTGAATATGGCCTCCATTTTGACTTTTACAAGCCTTTATGGAAAAGGAACAATAGGTTGTAGGGACGAGGAGTAAAATAAGGTGCCTCATTCTCAACCACTTCAACAATATCCTTTTTGGGTGGTGTTGGCACACTCTCTTTAACCTATTCTTCTCTCTCTCTCTCTCTCTCTCTCTCTCTCTCTCTCTCTCTCTCTCTCTCTCTCTCTCTCTCTCTCTCTCACACACACACACACACACACACACACACTCTCTCTCTCTCTCTTTAACCTTGTTTGTTTAAAAACCTGCACTCTGGTACTGACCATATCCTTTCAAACTATAGTCAGTATCTGAGAACACTTTACTTTCGTACAAGAGTTGGAATGTGTGAACTTAGGTATTACAATAAATTTAGACATAATACTCTCATAATTGACTTGTGACAAATCATATAAATGGTCACAAGATGATCCCCATAACCCCTAATCCATAATGGACTATTCACTCATGGTGAGGGCAAACACAATTAAATCGATGTTCACAAATGAATTCATAATACACAATTAATTTAGACAAGTAATTGTAATAAAAACAAATAAGAAAACCTGAATTTATAAGCTTTAATCCAAATGCTCAAATGGAGACTTGAGTACAGAGGAAAATAAAATATGTAGAAACTTCAAGGAAAAACCTAAAACTAGGATAAAATCTTATTGTTCAATAGCCATTACATCATAATATCTCATATTTAATCATACAAAAGATCCAAAAACATGAGAATCAATCTAAAAATGGAAAGAAGTAAAAGGTATCTCGCCCTCTTGCTACGACATGAAGTAGCTACTACGAGCGGCTGTAGTAGACTCTTGTTTTTTGTATCGAGAATGCAAACGTGGGAAAACCATAGGTGCTTGCTGCTACGGGTGGCCGTAGCAAGCCATTGCTTTTTGTATGGAGAATGCAAAAGTGGAAAAACCCTAAGCCCTTGTTGCTATGTTCCGTAGTAACTACTACGTGCGGCCGTAAAAGGCCCGTATGGAGAATGCAAAAGTGGGAAAAACCTAGGCCGTAACAACCCTTTAGATTTTGTATGAGAATTTTCTGACTTTTGACGTTTTTCCACGCTTTGCTCATTTTCGATCGTTTTTCACCTCGAACACTCATTAGACCCTGAAAATAGTAAAAACACACAACCAAAGCATAAAATACGATAAACAAAAAGAAATCTGGCAAAATGTGGAAAAATATTAAGTAAAAACGACTAGTAAAGACGGTACGAAAACCACTTATCAACTACATGTGTGTATGATAGGGTTATCTAGAATTAGTCTATTTCCACCACCAATCCTTATTCAATCCAATTCCAATTCTCATATTTTTAGGAAACACGTAGCTTTATAAAGGATCAATTTCTCGCTATCTTAGAGAAATGATTTTTTCCGCATGACATGGTCTTGGTCGTTAATTATTTTCCATGTAACTCAAGTCACATACAGGCTGAGATGGGGGACTAATTGTGGGTTAGGGTGACCATTCCCAATTCGGGTGGTTAACCCCAATTAGAACGTCTAAGCCAATATCATTGTACTTGGTTAAAGTTTTAATCACGAACCATTCATTTTAGGCCTGATAAAATTATTCCAATCTAAATATCTTACTGATTTTTATTTAGAATTTTTTTAGTTAAAAAATTATTCTCAACTTTTATTTTTATCCAAGTATATAAATTATTAATTGTTTATTTTTAAAATTAAATAAAAGCACCCCTCCATTTGGGCTGCACCCCCATCACCTTTGCGTATTACTAGCTACACACCCCCACGCCTATATATTACTAGACGCGCACCCCTTTCTTGTTTACACAAAAATAAAACACCACTTATTGTTCTAAAGAGGTTGAAGGAACCCTAATAGCAGCTTTCAGCGTCGTCAACTATTCTTCTCCACCACCGCCGCAGCCAATTTCCAGCACGGAAGTTTCTCAGTATTTCTCATCTCGTTACAAAGAAGTGGTAAGGAGAAGATTCACCTTGTGCCCTTCGATTTACGTTTTCTTCCTGCTATTGTTGATTATGTTTAACAGTATTGTTTCCAATTCGATATTTCAATTTGTTTGACATTGCACATGAATTTTCAACATTTAATCAGTGTAAAGTTTTCTTTTGGGACTCAATTCAATACCTACGTGTTACTGGCATGTTGTATATAAATTTGACAAAAGTGATATTGTGTAATTGTCAGTTGAACAATGGCGTACGCAGCTGTGAAATCCACAAAGGTTGGTTTGGAAGACTCTCAGGAGCAGATCCACAAGATTAGGATCACTCTCTCCTCTAAACATGTTCAAAATCTTGAGAAGGGTGGGTATTTTATTTGTAATCCCCAGTAATGTTCATGACTTTTTGTTGGATGCTATCACCGAATATGTTAATGTTTTGAATTTTCTCTCTTTGTTGTTATGTTAGTTTGTGCTGATTTGGTCCGTGGTGCAAAGGATAAGCATCTCAGGGTCAAGGGACCGGTCAGGATGCCTACTAAAGTTCTCCACATCACTACAAGGAAGTCTCCTTGTGGTGAAGGTATTCCATTTAATTGTTTATTTGTTTTCGCTCTATAAGTAGTTTGTTATTTAATTGTGCTCTTCACAACGCCTGAATTTTTATGGCTGGTAGCTAGACACATAATTTATGATATATTCATAGTATATTGGCAACTTATTTCAATAAGCTCCTACAACAGCTTGTAAGTTATAATTGAGTGTGTAATGATAAGGTTTTAGTTAAATTGACGCCCAAATTCCCAGAGACGAACTTGTTTATACAAAGGTGGATTATGTCAATTGTCTCAACAGCAAAAAGGCAAGCCCGGTGTCTAGTTGTATTTTTTTCAGTGATCCTATACCTTTCTTTCCTTTGAGTTTTGCAACTCCCTTCATTATAGAGCTTCTCTATCTTTTCGTTTATGTCATCTCTTGGTTTGAGTAGAAAGGTATTTCATATTGTGTTGTGCTCAATAGTTTTGATACCAATTATCACTAGGTTGTTGATAGGGGCGTAGCAGAACTGGATATCACTGCAACATTTTTGAGTTGCTAAGTGCCCGTGATAGTGGGAATAACAACCGCTATTTGTGGAGTCATGGCAGCACGTAGCGGAACTGGACCTCACCATGACCTTTTTGGGTTGCTAAGCGCTGTCTGTGATAATGGGAATAACAACCGCTATTTGTGGAGACATGGCGGAGCTTTTGCGGTTTCCAGACCTCTATTGTGAAGCTGAGGGTAAATTTGTAAATTCAAATTGGTATTTTGACCTTATAAAATAGCACAAATGTTTGCTTTAAGTCGTTTCATGTGTTTCTTGCCGTTTCCCTCTTCTCCTCTCCACAGTGAAGAGGAAAGAGACAAAAACCATTTGAAATGACCGAAACCAAACACTCTTTTATATCAGGTCAAATAAAAGGGTCAAAATACCAATTTGCCCTATTGCAAATAGTGCTTAGCCGGCCAAAAGCGTCGCGGCGAGGTCCAATGCTGCCATAGCGTGCTATCAACAACCTAGGTTTTGTGCTTGTGGTTTGCACAGTTTGGCTATATACTTTTGTTATCATGGGATTAATTTATATTCATGTGTATTGAGAATTCATGTCGCCCAAAAATACTATTGCTTTCTGATCTAATTCCAAGGCTGGGAAATACTATTTCCCTCGTGTCACCTTAATCATACACTGCCAATATGTTTAAAAATGTAATGTGTAGACTTTTATGGATGATGTGACTTGATTAATGAACAAACATTATTAACTGCCTGTGTTCACGAGCTTCCTCTTGTTTCAGGTACCAACACTTGGGATAGATTTGAACTCCGTGTGCACAAGAGAGTCATTGATCTATACAGTTCCCCTGATGTGGTTAAACAGATTACTTCTATCACCATCGAGCCTGGTGTCGAAGTTGAGGTGACCATTGCCGACGCTTGATCTTGAACCAAGTTTTAACTTGTTCTGTTTCATGGTTCTTTTGTCCTCCTATATTTTGACAGTTTCGGTTTTGAGACAAAGTTGGGTTGTTTTCTTTAGTTTTACAGTTCTGAACTTTGATAAAGCATGAAGAGTTGTTATGTTTTAGATTCCTATCAAATTGAATTACTTTCTATTTATAATTTTTTTTTCTTTTCAATTCTGTGTGTTAGTGCTTTGAAAATGCAGTGAGAAGAATCATTAATCTTGGAAACACCTTTAGGATCATAACCTTTTTCATGAGTTTTAGGACTAATGCTAATTTTCCTAGAGATAGTAGTCCCTTCAACAAAACATAAAATCTGAAGAACAAAATCTGAAGGGACATGGTATAATCAAACTAGCACCATTCTACCTTCAAAGTGCAACTAAAAATTTAAAATTTGTCTTTTTCTTATACTATATATGAAAACTTGGAAGAGAAATCCAGTTTCTGTGTCTGAACTCAAAATGAAACTTGTCTTCATTTTCCTTGGAGCTTACAATAGGCATACAAACAGGACCCAAAGAAGCCAAGTGATTGGCCAAGAACATTGAACTGCATGACAACAAAACACAAGACATTATAAATTTACATGTAAAGAAATGAATAGTGCAAATAAATCACCAATGAAGATTTTAAGTTCCCAAAGGGATTTATTTTTGTTTACCAAATCATATGGAAGTCCTCCAAATAACATCCATCCAAACCCACTAGTAAAAACATCCTGTAAAAGAAGTAACGATCAAATTTCAGGTATTAGGCAGATGTAGAAAATAAATAACATGATGTAGAAACATAACTAACCTTTAAATTACCACATATTGCTTGTGTAAGTGCTGAGTTGACAGTTGTATTCAAAACTACAATGTAGTTTATAAAGAAAGTAAAAGCACATGACAGAACCATCACAACCTGACGAAGATTCCAGTACAGTAAATCAAACAATGCCTCCAAGTTATCAATTGAACAATAACAATGACAACAAGAAGCACCTGAAATCCAGGGTAGAGCAAGTATGTGAAGTTGAGTGTTGATTGTAGGTCACCTCTAAGCAGGGACCAAAAAAACAATATTGGTCCACAAATCAGCACTAAAAAAAACAAGAAAGGGTTAAGTTAAGATGAGTCCATTTATTATGATGTTCAAAATCAATGAAATCTTACCATTGCTCCATACAAGACCAAATATATTAAGACCACTAGCTTTACCTATGAAAAATTGTCAAGTAGTATATGAGATTCAACGAGAGACTCAAAAAACAGTACAATGAGTGAGACATAACAAAACAAGAAACATTGTTCATGTTACCAACACGAGAGATGGAAGCAAGGTACACTGCTTTGCACATGTTTTCTATGAAAACAACTGAGTAGGCATAAGCATCAAATGATAAGTCTCTTGCTCCAGCAACCAAAGCACCAGCTATGATTATCCCAACACTAATAATCACAAATAAGAAACTGAATAACTACACAGAACTAAACTGGATAGAAGAACAATGAGAGTACCATACCTTAAAAGAACACAGATTGAATGTTTCTTCCCGGATAGAAAATACTCCATAATCATTGTGAATGCGACAGTAGTTCTTCTGAGAGTGGTGTACATTGGAATGTTAATGCCGCGCACAGCTTCCATGGTCACCACCTGAAAACTTATGTTCTTGTATAGCCTAAGAAAGTTAATGTGTACAAATCAAAAATCAATGTTTAGAAATACTTACATGAACAACAAATATGTTATTGCTAGAGGAAATGTGTGGACTAATGTACTGAAGGGCACAAATAATATTGAGTTTTTTAGACTTAGAGCTGTTCTGGGATTCACCAGTTGTGAAAGAAATTATGTTGAAGGATTTCAATACATAGAGAATAACAAATGCACACACCATCTGTGAAACAAACCTTACTTATATGAGTACATAACTTATCCCCGATAGAGTTGCAACAATCTTGAAAAGTGAATTACCTGAGAAAGTGTGATGACATTTGCAAATGGGAAATTGTAAGAAGTTAGAGCTGCTTTATTGAACATGACCAAAAGAACTGCACAAAAATCAATTGTTTCAATAAATTGTTATATAATGGAAAATCATATTTACTCTTAACAATTAAGATACGTGATAGAAAAACAGCTACACCAGTTTTGCATAGTGTGTTGTTTAGCCAGGCAATATGTGTGGAATTAAAAGTGTGAGTGAGTAAGTCTCGTTTCAATTAGAAATGGAAGAAATGTTGGGTATATAAGAGAGATGATCCATATCTCCAGTGCCTTAAGGTTTTAGGTAGATATGTAGTGTCAAGGTCTCTTAAATCCATAAATATTTAGTCCATGACACTTTCGATGCTCTCCAGACTCATCAACAAGTAGTTTTAGTGTCGTGGTTCGGCTTCATGGGGATTAAACTCAATTTTTATTTTTACAAAAGTTGAAAACAAAATTTATAAGGATTATTAATTTATTTAATCTTGTTATATAAACTAAATTTGTAATGGAAAAAGTACTAAAGAAGAAAAGAAAGTACATTTCCACAAGAAGACAAGAATAAATAGCAACTCCAACTTGAACAATCATGTAATATTTTAGTGTAGCAATAAAGCATGCTAATCTTAACAACACAAATATAGCACTAACTCAAGATATGAACTAAAATAGCACGTTGCACATGAACTCTCCTACAAAGTGGAACTAGAGTCTAAAATTGTTTATCAATCAATGATATGAGACATAAAGAAGAACCCTAAGAGATAATATAATTTTCTAAATTATATGCCTAAAGTAGTATCTAGAATGAAAAAGTCTAAGATATGTTAGACAAAAGACACATTTCCAACTCTTTGATTAAAAGTAATTTAGGGTGTGCAATCATCCGTACACTCCTTAATCATAATATATGTAAGCACTACTACACAAGTATTGTGTTAGTCCTTTTTCAACACATCTTTATCATAACACATGTCATCATTTAAATTTAATTTGTGTTTTGAATATATATATATATATATATATATATATAGTATATATATGATATATATATATATATATATATTTATATAAATATATATATATATATATATATATATATATATATATATATATATATATATATATATATATATATATATATATATATATATATATATATTTATATATATATATATATATATATATATATTATATATATATATATATATATATATATATATATCAGCAATGCTATGTTTACACCACTTCCTACACCCATTTCCTACACCGTATACACTGTTCACCGTATTTATACGGTAAACAGTGTTTTTTTAAATAAAATACTATATTTTTTTAAAATATTATTTTTTTTTAAAAAAATATTTATTTTAAAATTTATTTTATAAAACAAATATAAATTGCGCATTAACCAATTTTACAGTTGCATTAACCACAAAAATCTACATCATTAACCAATTATTTTACCTATAATTTATTAACCACTTTCAGTACTTCATTAACCAACAAAATACATACTATTAATCATATTCTGGGAAATTTGTTCACGTATTTGTGAACAGTAAATTGGGTGTAGGGTGTAAGAAAGAGTGTAAGAATAACATTTTTCATATATATATATATATATATATATATATATATATATATATATATATATATATATATATATATATATATATATATATATATATATATATATATATATATATATATATATATATATATAGTGAGTATTAAGATGTCCATACCTTTGTCCACTTATTTAAGTGGACAATTTGTATCCATATTTATTTTTTTAAAGATTTTTATTCTATCTATTAATGAATATTTTTGTAAATATTTATCAGAAATAAGATAAATTGTCATCCCTAATTTCGTACTAAACTTACTTATTTTTGTTTGGTTTATTTTAAATTGTATGACATGACAGATTAATAAATTTTTATTAAATAATAGTATAAAATTTATTTTACACTATGAGTGCATAACAGTTAAATTTTTAAAATAATCAAATTAAATCATAACAACTTCTAATATATATATTTTTTCTCTAAAATATGTATCAAAATTAAACTCTTTGTGAATTTCTTATTCATTTTCCCCTCAAACTTTATCATAATCACGACTTTTTTTTCTCATCAGCAGCTTGGAATTTCAGTAATTATTTAAGAATTTGTTCTTTATTAATTTATTTAGTTTTTTTAAAAGATTATCATGCTCACGAACTCTCATTATAATATGTTAATAGAAAGCTTCATACTAAATTATGTTTTATACTTTTTGTTCTCTGGATTTTTAAATGTCAACGGAGAAAATTTCCTTTAGTTATTTCATTTGTAATTCCTTTTAATATAAAAGCATTTAAAAAGTTTAAAATATATAAAGTTATACTAGCATTACTATTTTTATAAATCTTTTACAATTTTTATTATGTTGAAAATGGTGAATTTGAAGAGGTAAAAACAAACCTGAAGAAGACATGTACGATAAAGCAGTATAAACTCCTTTTGTTGTCATGGTTGGAACTTTATGTTCTGTTTCTTTGCTCTCTTTCATATCATTAGATAGTGGCAGCAAATTCTTTGTAGACTCCATTAATATGGCATGCACAACACAACCCTTCTCTCTCTCTTATTTCTTGTTTGTGTTTGAGAACTTAAAAGTGACAAGTGATTATTTATAGCAAAGCAAAGAGAAAAGGTGACAGAGTAAAGAAGTGTTTTTTAGTGAAATATTGGGGTTCATTAGCAAAATGCAATATGAAGCAGCAATCACTGGAATAGGTAATTCAATTTATAAAAAGAAAATAATATTTAATGAGTTTGGAACATATATCATAGAAAAGAGTTTAAGTTAAAGCTCAAAAAGGATAATTAGTTATAACGACCTCTCCCTCTCATTTGACACAGATTCTATTTACGAGAAGTTTACTATATTCAAATTAATATTATAATTGATTATTCAATTTGTACAACGATCTTCTCTCGGCTATGTATTATTAAATTTGATGTGTCAATTCTTTTGAATCATCCTTTTGATTTGACAAAAATTGTGATTCTCTCCAATATCTTAGTCATCATATTCATAAGGACTTATAAAAATTTGATATGCTATATGAAATTTTATCGATAGTTGAAAAAATCAAGTAAATAATCATAATATTGTTGGATATTTTGATTGTTGGAAATATGTAGCAGCACTTTAACAACATGCCAAATGTCTTTATTTGGATTACTTGTATACCGATTTAACCTACCAACAACATATGCAATATCAGGTCTAGTACAAATCATAACGTACATCAAGTATCCAATTACCTTTGAATATTCAAGTTGTGCCACTGGACACCCTTTATGTGGTTGCAAATTAACATTTTAATTAAATGGGGTAGAAACTAGTTTACAATTGAAGTGATCAAATTTCTTAAGCACCTTTTCGATGTAGTGAGATTGGGATAAACCAGTATTTTCACCATCTCTTATAATTTTAATTCCTAAAATCACATATGCTTCACCCAAGTCTTTCATATCAAAAATTTTGGATAAGAAAGTTTTAGTCTTTTCTACCTCATTTAAATCAGTTCCAAAGATTAACATATCATTTACATATAAACAAATCATGACACCTTTTCCATTTCTAAATTTACTATAAATACATGTGTAAGATTCATTTATTTTGTATCCATTGGTTAACACAACGTGGTCAAATTTTTGATGTCATTGTTTGGGTGCTTGTTTTAACCCATATAAAGACTTGGTTAATTTACACACTTAATATTCTTGACCTTTGATGACAAACCCTTCAGGTTGTTTCATATACATCTCGTCATCTACCTCTCCATTTAAAAAATAAGTTTTAACATCCATTTGATGGATTACAAGCTTATAGATGTAAGCAAGTGCTAAAAGCACTCTAATTTATGCAATTCTAGCAACAGGTGGATATGTATCAAAGTAATCAATACCTTCTTTTTGTGTATACCCTTTAGCGACAAGTCTAGCTTTGAATTTTTCAATGGTACCATTAACTTTTTTCTTTTAAAGATCCATTTACAACCTATTAGTTTTGATCCTGGTGGGAGATCTACTATTTTCCAGGTTTTATTACCCATAATTGAGTTCATTTCTTCTTGGATAACTTATTTCTAAAAGGCAGAATCTTGAGATTTTATTGCCTCTTCAAATGTTTCTGGATCATTCTCTAGGTTATAGCAAATTGGTCCATAACGATTTATCGAATCATTATTTTCTTCTACAAGAAACATGAAGAAGTCTGATCCATAGTTTTTCACTTTTCGGATTCTTTTACTTCTTCTAGGTTCTGAACATGCCAACGTATCATTATTAGATATATTACATTCTAGACTTTGAACAACATAATGAGCATTGTCTTTGAGATTTTGAATTGAGGTAAATCTACTTTCTTGAAAAATTGCATCTCTTGACTCAATCACGGTATTAATAGGATATGAGTCATTGGATTTAATAACCATGAACCTATATGCTTTTCTATTTTCAGCATATCCCAGAAATACACATTCGATTCCTCTTTCTCCCAATTTCTTTCTTTTTGGTCCAGTCACCTTTACAATTGCTCTACAACCCCAAACTTTAAAATAATTAAGATTGAATTTTCTTTTAGATAAACCAGAATAT